AACATCTTTTAAAATAGATCAGTGATATGGCGTACCGTACATGTTAGCATATAAGACTATACATTATTTAAAGCATTATATATCCATACCGGTGTTTTAATCGTAGAATGTTTGTTTAGCCAGAGTTTCTGTTGTCTTGCCTACCATCGCCACTACTGCTGGTTTGCCACGGAGTTATGGGAGGGCAAGTTGTAATCTGTCTCACAGTCCCTGAACCATATTATTGTTTTCCCATTCGCCCAGACCTCATTGTAACGTCATAGCACCAAATATAGTCTGTCTCACAGTCCCTGAACCACATTAGTTTCCCTACTGCCTTGCCCCCCGTGCAATGCAAAGCCCTAAATGAAGCAAGTCTAGATTCCCTCTAGACTAACGTTTAGTCCCTGAATATATATAATTTTGATAGTAACAAATAAACCCATTTAAATTGAAAAGGAGCCCCAGTGTTGTGAACTTGGGGAAATCTAGACTACTGGCTTGCTGTGAAGTTACGGGAAGGGAAGATGTAATCTGTCTCACAGTCCCTGAACCATATTGTGTTTCCTACAGCCTTGCCCTCCCTGCAATGCTAAGCCCTAAATGAAGCAAGTCTAGATTCCCTCATGCAGGTTCTGAATCTCTGGTCTCCCTGGGGCTCCTTTTCAATTTAAATAGGTTTATTTGTTACAATCAAAATTATATATTCAGAGACTAAGCGTTAGTATAGTCTAAAAGAAGCAAGTCCCTAATATCACAGTGGGGTTCTTTGGGGTCCTTCTGTATGTGTTATATGTTTAATGGACCATGCGTTAGTTCCGTGGTGGGGCGGTGCATGGGGTAGCTTAGTGGTTAAAACGTTCGCTCGTCACACCAAAGAACCACATGGGTACCAAAGGCGGATCCAGAGGGGGCGCAGGGGTGCGCACCCCCTTTGTGCTGAAAGTTTGTTTAATGACCATTGAAACTCGGGTGAAAATGAAGTGTGCACCCCTCCTTTTCTCAATAGTGTGCATCCCCCCTTTCTCAAAAAGCTGTATCCGCCCCTGGGTACAAGTGAATCCCATTTCTGGTGTTCCACGCCGTGATATTGCTAAAGGCGGCGTAAAACCATACCCACTCACTCACTACTACCCGTGATTCCTCGAACATGGTGGCCTGTACTTTACAAACAAAATCGGTGGTGCTCTAACTGGAATGTTTCAGTCGTTGAGATTATTTTGCATTTATTAACGTATTTTATCATGGCCATAACATGGAATTCATACTGCACTAGGGGTGACTATCGAGGGGGAACAACCATTGCGATAGCGATAGTCTACTGCAAACAACTATTGCAATAGTTTTTCTCCTTGAATTGTCTCATTTGAAGTCATTTCCCAAATGATTGTATAGTTTTTTATGAAATGAAAACAAGCTGAAGTAGTTTCAGTCTCTTTAAATAACTGACAAGAAACTTGAAACCCAGTTCAAGTAAAGTTACAACATAACCTCAATGCAGCTCCATGCAAGTCTGCACCGACACATCAAGTATTTTGCCATTTATCAACAGAAGTCAATTACTAAACTATCGATAGTCACAAAAACTATCGATGCATCTGTAGTTTTTCGTTTCTACCATCGATTAATTTCTATCGGAGACTCAACAATTGCAATCCATCGATAGTTCGATGCATCGTTACAGCCCTATACTGCACCACCTGTGACTGTGTTTTTTTACTCACTCGTTCCCGCGCTCACTCGCTCACTCCATTGCACTTTCATTTAAGCATATGTTTGGTCGTCAAGATTGCAAACTGACCATTAGGCGGGACGAGGGTAACCGCGTCGAACCTTGTGTAAACAGGCATTAGTGTTTGAATGTAAATTTGCTAGGATTAGCGAGGCTAATAAAATGTGGACGGGGCGAGATGAATTCAAATTAGTGCTTTGTAAACACCATTCAAATTCAAATTGCTTTGTGAATTACACAAACGCCGCTTTCTCATTCATAACGTTATAAAGACCCATTTGTCACGATTAAGTGGTTTTATCTTCCATGATAGCAATAACTGTTTTGATTGACGTTTCTTTTACACCGTACCAGGCAACATGTATTACATGCGGTAATATTGCGTCAGATTGTGAGTTATGGCAAATCCTGGCCACACTGACGCCGTTTGGTTGTACCAAGATGCGTAATCAGTCAAGTCATATATGAATCTGCGTTAATGGTGGTCATATTGCATTGTACACACTGTTTATGACCTCGTCTGTGATGTTCGCTGGGTGTTGTCATAATGGTGACACGTGCGCCACTGCTAATGATGACAGCAGCCTTACGTAACGTGATAGCTTTGACAGCGGATTGTTGATGATCGCAAGTGGCAGACTTTCGTGATCACATTGATATTGATGCTATTGCTGGCCATTACGGTGGCGATAGGTAGATTATCACAAGGATGATATTGCCATGGCAAAATCATCACTAATGCCTCATCTCAAGTACCTCTATACGTATGTGTGTATATTTGCTTACATGTGTGAAGGGGCGGTGGGGTAGCTTAGTGGTTAAAGCGTTCGCTCGTCATGCCGAAGACCCTGGTTCGATTCCCCACATGGGTACAATGTGTGAAGCCCATTTCGGGTGTCCCCAGCTGTGATATTGCTGTAATAGTGCTAAAGCGGCGTAAAACTAAACTCACTCACTCACCACATGTGTTAATATACATACGTCAGAATATACTTGTCATGTAAACGTATTTACACATGTGTGTATATTTACACCAGGAGCAAATTTACACCATGTCTGTAGTGCGATGTCTCATTAATGTTTATGCCAAAGGATGATATGATTAATATATCTTTAGATTTGACAACGCAGAAAGCTCTTTATTCTAATGTTAGTGCTGTTCTGTGTACAGCAATGGGTGAAGCCCATTTCTGGTGTCCCCCGCCGTGATATTGCTAGAATAATGCTAAAAGCGGTGTGCAACTCAACTCACTCACTCACTGTGTACAGCAATACCAAGGGAGTTAAAATATACATATACAGATATACATGTATTATAAAACGTATGTTGTTTCATGCAAAGATTTCTGTAAACTAGGTAACTCTTCTCGTTCCACTTTGAACGCGACATTTCACTGACGTATAGTGACATGTTTTCTTAAGGTACACAATTCACATAGCTCAGGTTAAACACCTTCATTAATCTTAATGTGAACGCAATTAAATGTATATATACATGTGCATAGCTACATATGTACAGACTTTATGCATGTGAACGGGGTATTGCTGTCTATCTCACAGCCCTTGAACCGTGTCATTTTCCTTTCTGTCAAGCCCTTTCTGTAATACCAATTTCTTAATTCTAAGTCAAGATGTTCGTTAGGTGAATCTGTTTCCAGTCCCACGGGGTCTCCTGTTCAATCTAAATGGAGCTGTTTGATTAATATGAAAAATAAGGACTCAGCTTAAGTCACCTCTATGCACACCTGTAATGCGTATATGTCAATGACTTGGGCAACCACTAACCTTGCTCCAGAGCTGTACAGAAGGCAAAGGATTTATAGTAATCAATCCTTAGAAGAGGCAAGTCTAGATAAGTTGACAGTACAAGGACGCCAGTCTGTTAGAGCGATATTTGTATTTTTTAGAAATGATCATTAAACTATTAATTATTACCTTAGAGACTTGTGCAAGTCTAGGCAACCACCAATGATGGCGATTGTTGAGTGATTGGGCTACGCTGATGACAACAACAATAACAATATTAAAATAATATTAATGTAATAATACATTAAAGTGATATATGTATGAAATCCAACATCTATAAGGCTGTATGAAGAAAATAAAATGCGTAGGTCAGCTGTTTCTTCACTGACTATATATATCGGTGTTCTGCAATTTGTTTGTTTGTTTAACGCCGCCCTCAGCAGTATTCCAGCTATATGGCGGTGGTCTGTAAATAATCGAGTCTGGACTAGACAATCCAGTGATTGACATCATGAGCATCGATCTACGCAATTGGGATACGATGACATGTGTGAACCAAGTAAGCGAGCCTGACCTCCTGATCCCGTCGCCTCTTACGAGCATGGTCCCGCGCTGAAGGCCAAATCTAACCCGGATCTTCACGTGTTTCTACAATTCTATTATTCAGCAACAACGCTGACTGGGTGTGCACTATCAGTATAGAAGAATTTTATGCAAGGATATGCTGCATCCTGGTCTGATAACAGCTATCAAGTAGGTCTAAAGACGGTATGGTTATGCTTGATAAGAACATTTAATATATACCTACGTGAGAGAGCCTAATGTACAGGTGAAATAATTATAGGGCTGTGTCTGCTGAGTGGTGGCGCACAGTACCGCAGTGTATTAGCAAAAGTAGCTCATTAACAGGTATTAAAAAGTATTAATGTTGGGCGTAGAACATGTAGGATAATAGCAATATTATTTTACCTGATAAATGGACAAGCAGCATACGAAGCGCAGCATAAAGAATGTGAATGTATTCTTTGCGACCACAAGTGTAGTACGTTTGTGCCTGTTCCGAGATGAAAAAAACAGAACAAAAACAAAACACAAAGTTTTCGAAAAACATGTCAATGTAAAAGGAGTAAAACCTATTCTCTAGGGCAAGGCTTGTGCAACACACAGTAGGTTTAGAAAAAACCCCACGGAATACAATAAATTTAAACAAACACTCTTTCCCTGTCTTGATTTATAACAAAAAATACACCGAAAAGAAAACAACTTTTTGAAACATTTAAAATGAGTGCATGAATCATTGTTTGTACGTCATAAATGTTTTATTAATTTTGACTTTATGACTAAAGTTTTAGAAAGACCAATATTTGACTTTCCAAGATATGTTCGAAGATATAGAACTACCTCGTGTTAGAGATATTTGTTTATTCGGGTAATCTTTCTTTTCTTTGTGCAAAGAAAAACAACTTACGTAAATAAGTCTTTAAACAGTCGGGATATGCGCGACTTAGAGCGCGCATCATGTTTAATACGGTATGTGGTGACCCTCTCGCTACTGTGTTGTGTAGTCAGAGTGTTGACAGTGTCAAGGAATTGCTCGCGGTTCGTGGCCCCCCAAGGCATGTTTCCCCGGGGGTGAGGATATACGGCAATGTTGCTGACGAGGGGCCCGAGCGATGTGGGCATGAAGTCCCTCACAACCCTAAAGGAGAATAAGGTTGGTGGAACATTTTCGCTCCGACATGTTTAGTCATGTGATAAGTCCTGTATATGAACCCGGTGTTCGTGTGATTAGAGATCGGTATATCAACAGGCAATATTGTGCTGTATTGTTAACGAACAATATGCCCGCTCGTGCCATATTTTATCAGAATGACAGTTGACTATATTATGTGTGAAGATACGGACACGAGACACAGCACACGAAATCTTCAGACGTCTCACTCCCTGTCCGACATTAGAAAGGGGGCGTTTTCGTGGCTATTGAGGCGAAAGCTTTGCTTGCTTTCGTGTTCGAGGTAAAATGCAATCATTTTTTTATTCGTTAAGTTCATAAAAACAGACGAATGTGATAATTCACAGTGGAAAGTCTGTTTTATGCTAGTTTGGAAAATGGAACGAATTTGCCCACTTTATTAGAAATCTGACGTCATAAATCAACACAATTAAGGTGAGGGCACTGTATTTTCATACCATATTCCTATCACGTGCTAAGACGAAATCGTACATACGAAGGGTTCTGATGAATATTTATATCGACTGTTTGATAAATAGAAGATATAATGATGTATATACTGTAGGTTGATATAACAAAACATTCACCACAATCAAGTTCCCTGGATATAGCTAGATGCTATATGATAAAAGGGGGTGGGTGCACTTTAAATGCGACATGATAGTGAATGCAAAATCTTCTGAAAACATTTTGCTGTTGGTAGTTACATAAATTTTGCTGAAATATCAAATGATTTATTTTATTTAAACACTGCAATATATTTAGTTTCAAACGGTGAAAAGGAGTAGTTTCCCCAAGGTACCACTCCCCAAACTCCTCAATCCCACATCCAATGCAAGTCTGAAAGATATATACTGGTATTTAGAAGACGGCTAGTGCTGTCAATTTGTGTTATCTCAATGAAGTATGAGTCACTTATTTAAAACCTCTTTAAAGGAAGTATACACAAATATGTGAAATGTTGATCAAAACATTGCATGCTTGTGGGGAATTATAAAAAAAATTCTGAGTGGTGTGGTTTCAAGGTCTAAAGGCTTTTTAAAGTCAGAAAATCTACATTCTATTTATGTATTTTCTGATACAGAGTTGTGTTGATTGATTATGACACCTCAATGAGACCCTTAATTTATTTACATTAATACTTCCCAAATAGTTTGTTTTTTAAAATGAATGTTTTAAACTGTGAATATCAGCCATTGGGGACTTTGGATATATCAATATGACATATCAAACATATTTTTGCAATAAATGCAATGCCCGATCTATACTGAACAGCAAAAGAAACGCAAGTTTCGAAAAAATGAAATCTCATGAAGGTAAGCGTTCATGGTAAAGTGACGTAATGATCCCAGATGTCATGCAATTTGACGTCGATACGAAACATTCGCTCAAACAGACCAACAGTGCAGCAAAACCATAATTTTAGCATGTGCATCGATGGTTATGGATGAAAAGCATGCATTTCACTCTGAGGTATCCTTTATAAAGGTTTGTGTAAAAAAACAGTTCAGTATTGACGCAGGAGGTGTACACGCCACACAAACGATGCCTAGACTAACGACTGAGCAGAGGGGAATGGCAATTGGAAAGTTACACGGAGGTAGCACTGCAACCGCTGTAGCTAGACAATTGGGCTGTCATCTTACCACCATTACACGGCTTGCTCAACGTCATCAGCAAAGCGGGTTGCTGCTGATCGTCCCCGTACCGGACGGCCACGAGTGACAACTCATGTGCAAGATCGGTTCATCCGGGTCACTCATCTAAGGAACCGAACTCAAGCAGCAGCAGTAACAGCAGCCTTTGTTCTTGGGTCAAGGGGAGCAGTGCCAAGCGATACGATTAGGAGTCGTCTTCGGGCTGCTGGAATCCACTGCCGGAGGCCATATGTGGGGCCAATTTTAGCCCGTCAGTAACGCCAGCGATGTTTTCAGCGCTCACACAGCAGGGGTGTCGACGGATTATCTGGATCAGAACAACATTAACGTCTCTTTCCCTGGATATGGCTCCCATTGAACATTCTGGGATGAAATTAGACGGAGGATTGCTGCAGGTAGACAGCCACTCACACTTGCACAGTTGGAATAGGGATTGGTGTTTGAGCGGGACCAGTTGCCTCAGGCATTCTTTCAGACTCTAGTGACCTCAGTGAGGCCACGTTGCACGGCCTGTGTGCAAGCTCGAGGTGGGTATATGCGCTACTAAAGAGATTGTCACTTTTTGTGTTCAGGGGTATCTCCATTTGACGGACTGTGATCAATTTGAACTTATTGCAATTCAATGTCAACAGCAACTTTTAGCTGTTACATTGACAGTGTTTTCTATAGAATAAATGATTAGACATAATTTGGGTTGTCTTCTATTCAAAAACTTGACAAAAAGACAGACTTGCGTTTCTTTTGCTGTTCAGTATATTTCAAAACAGCAAGTGACAGAGTAGAATATCTTCTACCACAAATGCCAAACACCCCATTATTTTCATCTAAAACGCTTACATTTCTGCCCTGTATAAAAGTAGTAGTGCTGGGTTTGCATCAAATAATTTGAAATATAAACGAGGCAAGGAATTTATAATGAACACCTTACTTGCTTATCATTGAAAGTTTCTGATCAAAGTAATGTTTTGCTACAATAATGACCAAGGTAACTATCCAGTAACTAATTCCACCTCAGTTTCATTATAATACCATTTTGATGAACTAGATAAGCTTCCCCTGTTTATGAAAAGCTTTATTATTTTGTTTTTTTGATGGATTTTGATTTTGAACAGTGATCATGCAAAATGTTGAACTTTATTTAGAAATTGTTAACTGTATTGAAAAAACCCCAAAGAAAATAGAATTAGAAAACTTTCCTAATGTATCTGAACATCAAATGACAATTTTGTTCATTTCATGAATCACGTATCATTTATGTCGAAGTGAAACAGAAAGGGACTAAGGTTACACCCTTGTGTCACTCCCGTAAGACAATCAAATGTACCAGGTACTCTATTGAATGAACACAGGCCTTTACATTACTAAGGATGGATTGCAACATTTTACTGTTTTCAGTTCTCCAGCCATCTTTGTGTACAGTCACTGTGGGAGATCATGCCAGAATGAAGTAAATAGTATAGAAAAATCAATAAATGCTACATAAAACTTACCCCTAAATATTACAGGTAAGGCTGAACGATAGCATTTGCATTAAACTAATTCTGAATAGTTGAATAACATTTGCTGAAGCCAGACTGACATTCAGACATAGCGTCCATTACACTGGTCTCAATCAAAGTTTGTCCTTCTTGTTAGCAAATTTAGAAACACTTCCTTTGACTTGTCTCCATTTTCACATTTCATAAGATATCCCTTACAACACTGAATGTGTCTATTTGTAACTACTATCTGTAAATAGATTGCTGCAGATAAATACAGTAAGTTGTAAATGGTGACCTTGTTGGAGGTGTTTACATAAATGTGTTCTAAGAGAAGTTAAGTCAATACCCTATCCTGAGAGCATGTGTAACCCTGACCCGAGGGAATGTGTTACCCTGACCTGAGGGAATGTGTTACCCTGACCCGAGGGAATGTGTTACCCTGACCCGAGGGAGGGTTATGTGACTTACCCTGACCACATTTGTTACCCTGACCTGAGTACATGTGTTACCCTGACCTGAGTGCATGTGTTACCCCGACCTGACTGCATATGTTGCCCTGACTTAAACACATTTGTTACCCTGACCTGAGGTCATGTGTTACCCTGACCTGAGTGCATGTGTTACCCTGACCTGAGTGCATGTGTTACCCTGACCTGAGAGCATGTGTTACCTGACCTGAGTGCATGTGTTACCCTGACCTGAGGTCATGTGTTACCCTGACCTGAGTGCATGTGTTACCCTGACCTGAGGGCATGTGTTACCCTGACCTGAGAGCATGTGTTACCCTGACCTGAGTACATGTGTTACCCTGACTTGAACACATTTGTTACCCTGACCTGAGTGCATGTGTTACCCTGACCTGAGGGCATGTGTTACCTGACCTGAGAGCATGTGTTACTCTGACCTGAGTACATGTGTTTCCCTGACTTGAACACATTTGTTACCCTGACCTGAGTGCATGTGTTACCCTGACCTGAGTGCATGTGTTACCTGAGAGCATGTGTTACTTTGACCTCAGTACATGTGTTACCCTGACTTGAACACATTTGTTACCCTGACCTGAGTGCATGTGTTACCCTGACCTGAGAGCATGTGTTACTCTGACCTGAGTACATGTGTTTCCCTGACTTGAACACATTTGTTACCCTGACCTGAGTGCATGTGTTACCCTGACCTGAGTGCATGTGTTACCCTGACCTGAGTGCATGTGTTACCCTGACCTGAGTGCATGTGTTACCCTGACCTGAGTGCATGTGTTACTCTGACCTGAGTACATGTGTTACCCTGACTTAAACACATTTGTTACCCTGACCTAAGGGCATGTGTAACCCTGACCTGAGTACATGTGTTACCTTGACTAGAGGGCATGTGTTACTCTAACTTAAACACATATGTTACCCTGACCTGAGTGCATGTGTTTCCCTGACCTGAGGGCATGTGTTACTCTGACTTTAACATATTTGTTATCCTGACCTGAGTGCATGTGTTACCCTGACCTGAGTGCATGTGTTTCCCTGACCTGAGGGCATGTGTTACCCTGACTTTGCATGTGTTACCCTGACCTGAGTGCATGTGTTTCCCTGACCTGAGGGCATGTGTTACTCTGACTTTAACACATTTGTAATCCTGACCTGAGTGCATGTGTTACCCTGACCTTAGTGCATGTGTTTCCCTGACCTGAGGGCATGTGTTACTCTGACTTTAACACATTTGTTATCCTGACCTGAGTGCATGTGTTACCCAGGCCTAAATGCATGCATTAATCTGATCTGAATGCATGAGCATCATGACCTAGGTTTTTCTACTAGGTCAGAGTGATTTAAGATACATACTCATGACATTG